TACTCGAATATAATTCTTGCTTGTTTCTATTTTTAAAAAAACACTTTCTTCATTTTTTATTTGAATAAATATAATTAAAAAGTGCTTCATTTTATTACAAATAACACGAATTTCTTATTATTCTTTCACCTGGCAACCGTTCAGCAATATAACTAAATATAACACAGATGTTTCTTTTCGCGTGGCATTACCTACTCCTTACAGTTATTGTCATTCAATTAAAATTCTTATGTTCGTCATTTAAAGTATTATAAAATTGTTAACACATAATAAATAAATCAGTCAACGAATGTAATATTAAACTACAATTTAAATTTATTATTATTATTTAATTAAAATGCTGAAAAATCTTATAGAAGTGCCATGTTTTAAGATTTAAATAAGTGTATTTCATGGTCTATAAATTTAATTAAGTACTTTAAATTGAATAATATAAAATAGTTTGCATTGGATAAAAGCCGCTAAACACTGGTATTAATTACGAATTTGTGCCTCATCAATGGGATGGCCACGCCGATTTTCCTGGTTTTCACGTGTCTAACACATAAATATGTGCCAGTTTCCTATAGAAAGTGCTTCCGGGAAACATCCACCTTCCTGGCAGATGACCCACGTGTTGCATTACATTATTTTATCAACCTAGATGATTTTCCTGCATATGATAAGCTATATAGGCTATGGTAGATCCTAGTATCTACCATTGCCTAATAGGAGCTACCTGTAGGAATTACCTTATCATCGAATGTTTTTATTGTCATTCTCAAGATGTGTTTCTATAATTTAATTATTAATAAATAAAATATTTTTCCATAAGTTGCAATTAACGAATAAGATCAGGCTACTTTAAACGAGACAATAAAAAGAGTTGAAGCCATTTCTTTTTTCAAGTTACCGTGTTTGTTTTCTTTGCCAAAAAAAAATATAGGTAAATGTGTCATCGTTGTCTAAGCTAATTTTAAATTTCAACAATTTATTAGCATGACAATGCATTCATAGAAGATTCTGAAGAGAAGAGGGAAAGATAGGATTTTTAATTAATAATTTAATATGTTTGGAGTATGTTTAATGTTTAATGGCAGAAGAAAAAGTCGGGAGTAGAACCTACATTTAAATACATTATCATAATTTAAGTGTGGATCCAGCTCCCGATTTTATCCTCTACCATTAAACATTAAACATACTTCAGACATATTAAATTAGAATGAAAGAAAAATGAATTAAATTGAATGGTTGATTTTAATTAAAATTAATTCTAATTCTATATATATTTTTAAAATAATTAATTTATATAATTATAAAGTTATAACTACTCTGCTCTTGCAGAAAATAATTTAAGGACTTGTACAGATTTTAGATCATTTGCCGTAACGTAACAGCATTCAGAACTTAACACCATAACATGCTCGTAGTGTGTTTACGAGACCCTTAACAACCGAGCGTAACACAATCCGCTCCCTCCGAAGGTGATGCCACTCCGAAAATTCAAAGGAATGATCGCATAGCACTCGTCGCAACAACGTTTGACGTTAGCACCCTTTTTCTTTCCCGTTTCTCTCCCTTTGATTCGCAGGTTTTGTTACGGAAGTTCGGTTTGAGTCCAGAAAAAGGAAGCCCTAACAGGACAGAACACCAAACTGGACGCTGTTACGTTATGGAAAAATGTTGTGAATGTGGTTAAATGTGAATATTTAAATTAATAACGTTTGTGCACATCTCTTTCTTTATTTAAATTTTCTTTCGGTTCCGTCAATGATTAACGCTTTAAAGATCAACGGTACGGGAATAAAGGCCCATTCACAATGAAATTTAAGCATAAACATAAAACTTTTATCTATATTATTTGATGCAACCATTCACAATGAGTTACGTAAATGTAATTTTAAACTTAATCATAAGACATTAGCATAAATAAAGCTTGGAGTTTGCAAAAGTTTACGAACTTGAAAGTTTTTGTACTTTTTATGTGATTTAAAACAAGAAACAATCGTAGTGGTTATGGAATTCCCACTGATAAAATATAAAAACATCTGTTAATCCACGCCCGTGGTATTTTTGTTTGTAAAACCTGTTTTAAACGGACCATGACGCTATCGGCTACGTAAAATACTAGACCAAAAGTATTTTACGTAGCGAATTCCTTTTCCATTGTACAGAGAGTCTGTTTTAGACAGGTTTACTCTACTAAATTAAATCTTAGGAACGAAACGTAACTTCTAATTGAAAACTAGTGAATGTAAAGTAAGAAAAATAATTACTTTCTACCCCTAATACTTAATTACTTATTGGGAGTACATAATTTTTTTCGTTAGGTTGATGAATATCATCGCTATGTACGTACCAGGAGTAGACGAAACGAGTCGAATGGTAAGAAGAACATTGATGCGCTACCTCAATTTATCATTAGTGCTCGTTCTTAGGTCCATTAGCATGGCTGTTAAACGTCGATTTCCAACTCGAGATCATTTAGTGGAAGCTGGTGAGATAATTACTGTTAGTGTACTTGGAATCCAATCGTCGATCGCTTAAAAATATATTTACATAATGATTAAAACGTTTGGGACAGAACTTTTATTTATTTTTCTTTAGGATTTTTGACCAAGACTGAATTGGATATGTTCGAATCGGTCCCCAGTACGGAATTCAACACATTCTGGATTCCGTGTACTTGGTTCATCACTCTACTAAGAGATGCCAAAAAGGATTGCAGAATAACGGACTCCAACGGCGTCAAGTTAATCATGGAAGTCAGTGTTTTTGTTTTTTAAATGTCTACATTTTATTACTCGAATATAATCTTTAATTTAACATTTTTATTATTTTAATTTAGGAATTAAATGAATTTAGATCGAAATGTGGATTATTATGGGGTTACGACTGGATCAGTGTGCCACTCGTTTATACGCAGGTTTGTATATATATATATTTTTTTTCCTTGTAACATCAAAGAATTACTGGCTTAAAAAACATCTAATACCCTTTTTTGGCCGGCTGTTTGATTGTAAAAATAAGTTTTACTGTACAAGTCGACCCCCCTATAACACTGTTGATAATTCCGTTTTATATGAATTCCATGTTGTACGAGTCACTTAGATTTTACAAATACGTGAGCCGTTCACAGCCCGGCATATGTATTTGTAAAATCTAAGTGACTCGTACAACATGGAATTCATATAAAACGGAATAATCAACAGTGTTATAGGGG